TTACTCATTGCCCATCCTCACAGGACCATAAACACTAGAAATACATTCTCTCCTGGAATCCACAGCAGTTGACCTCTCCATAAGCACACAAATCTTGAGAAAATGAGCATTTCCTGTGGTTTTCATTTATTCGTAATGGTCTGTTCTCAGTAATGGTGAAGTAGACTGATTCTGGGGACCACCGGTGGTCTGTTCATTGCCTGAATTATTTGGCTGTTCTTAATGATGCCATTACTCCTGCTTTATTGGTGTTTATTGCTGCAATTATTCATATGTAAAAGCAATTTTGCCTAGTACCTATTATATGAAGGGGAATTTATTACTTATTTCTTTTTTATGTAATTTTCTAGTCCTTGTAGGTAGGATTCCACAGTTTTACTTCCCCTGAGTGACAGAAGCCACATTGTGTCCTCAGTTGTCGTTGCTGTTTTGCAGACTTGTTACATTGCATAACTGAAGTACGAAAGGACAGAGCCTCAACTTCCTGAGTCTGGGTGAGCTCGGAAGAGAAGGCACAGCACAGAGGAATTTGGGGCTGTTAGTGAGGGCCATGGGAGTAGGCGAAGTTGGAAAGCTCCTTCTAAGTTTTTTATTCTGATGTATCCCCACTGATTAATTTTCCCAGTGCCATCCTAATCACTGACTGTCTGGGGTCTTGGTGTTTATATACCGGGAGTGCCAAAACAAGGTACACAGGTGGACACTTTGGTCAACATTGCTCAAGCAGTAATTCGCCATCATCAGACGTGTCTGCGCTGATGGTAACCATTTTGAGCGCCTCTTGTAATTGCAGAAGTCAAACGTGACTTGTATTCATCTTTTGTTATCGGTCTATATTGAGTATTACAATTTTAATAGTTTTCCTTTCTTAAAATGTATACATTTTTTGGCCCCCTCTGTATATATGTATGTGTGTATATATGTGTGTGTGTGTATATATATGTATGTGTGTGTATCTATCTATCTATCTATATATGTTGTTCTACAAAGTTTAAAGAAACAAATCCCTTTCGTACATCTCTAGGAGGTGCTAAACAGGTTGAAGTTACTGCTTCTGTAAGCCTTGGAGGTGTTTGTGAAGAACTCCTTCAGGCACTAACATGTTTATATACCAACGTTTTCATCTCAGGTTTTATACAGAAAGTATTGTCTAGGCATTAAGACACTTTCCTACTTCAGCATCTTTATACTTAGTGTTCTTTGCGTATGATTTGCCCCCCACTCCGCTTCCTATGACTTGCTTCTTTGTAGTTCTCAGTTCTCAGCTTAAGAATCACTTTCAGAAAGGCCTTTCCTGACCATCCTCAGTAGGTCTCTCCTATAATCCTCTGTCATAGCACTATCTCCCATCAGCTGGTTTGGTCCTGCTTGACTTTCTTTGCTTACGAATCCTTTGCCACTTACCATTTCATGCCGAGCTGGTTGCCCTTGGTATGTACTCCTATGATACCCAAAGCAAGCACCTTGTACGTAATCATTTTCTATCATTACCATCTATCATTATCAACTTCCTTCCTCACAGTTAGAATGTGCATTTCATATGTCTTATTTTAAGTTTTTGAATTCCCAACATCCAGCATAGTTTTTAGATTATAGTAAAGATATAATAAATGTTTGTTGAATGGCTCCATTAATGAGTGACTGTATCCTTTTTGTGGATGGAACTATAGAAATAAAACCAGTGTCACAAAACATGTATGTTCATTTATTCATTCCAAAAATGTTTATTGAGTGCCAGGAGGTGTTCTCACAGTGGAGTGTAAAGTAGTGAAAAGAACAAAGTCCCTGCTCTCTTAAAACTTAGATAGGTGTATGATCTGTCCATACCTCTAGATCCATTTCAATCATACATAATTCTGGAATAGTTTTAGATTTCCAGAAAAGTTATGAAGATTGTACTGCGAGCTCCCATACCCAGTTTCCCCTGTTGGTATCTTACATTAGTATGGCACATCTGTTATAATTAATGAAGCAATAGTGATACATGATTATTAACAAGAGTCCATACTTTAGTCAGATTTCTTTAGTTTTTACCTAATGTCCGTTTTCTGTCCAGGATCCCACCCACCATACCACAGTACCTTTAGTTATCATGCCCTCTTAGACTCCTGTAAGCTGTGGCAGTTTTTCTGACTTTGTTTTTGATGATCTTGATAGCGTTGAGGAGTATGAGTGTATTCTGTAAAATGGAGACTGTCCCTCAATTTGGGTTTGTCGGATATATTTCTTATGGTTAGATGGGGATTATGGGTTCTTGGGAGGAAGACCACAGAGATAAAATGTCATTCTCATCACATCATATAAATGGTACATGGCTGTCCATGTGAATTATCGCTGTTGATGCCTTGATCACTTGGCTGAGGTAGTGTTTGTCAGGTTTTTACACTGTAAAGTACCTGCCCCCCCTGCCCCATACTTTACTTTTTGGAAGGAAATCACTATGTGTACAGCCCACACAAGGGTAGGAAGCTATGCTCCACCTTCTTGAGGAGGTAGTATTGACATAATTTATTTGGAATCTTTCTATAAGTAGATTTGTCTGTTCTCACTTAGTCATTTATATCAACATGGACTCATGGATATTTATTTTGTACTTTGGTTTATAATTCAGTATTATTTTATTTGTTGCTTAAATTGTTGTAGCTTTGGCCATTGGGAGCTCTTTGAGTTGGCTCCTTTGTCCCTTTGGCATACTCCCATCAGTTTGTTTTTTGAGTGTTTTCTTATTTCCTGCTTTTATCGGGGTAGGAAAAAATATTTTTAAAAAATATATAAATAATTTACCCTCAGTGATTTCGTATAGAATTTGAAAATAATTTGATGTGCTTATATGAACTCAGACTATTAAGTAGATGAAAATTTTCATTATTGTTTTTTTGTGATGATTTATATAGCTACTTCTTATAGGTGGAAATGTATATGAGTATGTATTTTCTCAGGATATATAGTGTGTTTTTGACCAGTTTTATTCTTCAGTTTTCTCAGATATAATTTTCATTTTGCAAATCATATTAGAGAAGTTTTACATTTCTCTGGCTTTCAGGGACATTTATGGTTGCCAGTAGCTGAGCAGATATCATTATGCTGGAAGTATTTTAGTGATTATGTATGCTGAGTGGTAAGATTGCTTAGTCTAAAAAAAGGACTCCATAATATTTGGCTTTCTGTTATAATTACCAGCATGCTTGCCAGAAATTAAGTTTAGCTTTTAGAAGCCTGGAATTCTTCATATGTTTATCTCTAACTAAATATTTCAGAGACTTGTTATGAAACTGTCAGTAATTCCATTATATATGTTCAGCTTATTCTGAGTTACAGCTGATGGAATAATATATAGCAAGTGATTGTACAACATGGGAAACGCTTAAGATAATAGGATATAAATAGTAATATTTAGTTTGATTACAACTTTGTTTAAAAGGAAACAAACTGACCCCATATACGAATAAAAGACTAGAAGATGATACCAGAATATTAACAGTGAATGTCTATTAGGTAGCGTGACATGGCTTTTATGTTATTTTCCAATTAACAAAAAATTGTCACGTATTACTTGTTTAATGAGGAAATAAGGGGATTTTTTTACATTTAGGAAAAAGTACATTCTGCAGGGATTTCTACTGGGTACTCACTTTTTGTTCCATTCTAGGTTCTGAAAGTTAAAAGGGCTTTAAAAAAAAAACCGCCATGACTTGGGTTGATTTTTCTCCACCAATAATCTGAAGAGCCAGTTCTTATGTTTGTAACATTAACACTTTACAGCTTACAAATTTTTAAATATGTCTTATTTCATTCTAAAATATCTGTATCAGGTGGATTTTTACTTTGGTTGTACACGCAGATGGGTCAGAGTATAAGGGTTATCACTCAGGGTTAACGTACTGAAACCGTGACTTAACACCTGCTCAGCGGAGCCTGCCTGGCCTTCGGGTGGCTGCTGACAGACCACGTTGTGAGGGACAACCTCACATTCCTCTCATAGGAGACTGATGGCCTCAGTGGATACCTTGGGGAGCCTTTTTGGATTAAAAATACCTAGCATTATCTGGCTGCTTTGACATTTTTTTAGTGGTGAGGGGTAGGTGAATTGAGGCTTGGAAGTTGCAGAGTAGCTTTAGCAGGCTGATGTCACTAGGTGTCCTCAGAATGAGAGGTAGAAGATTACAGTTTATAGATTTTATAGGTTATATGTTCCAGTCTTAAAAATTTGCAAAGGCACAATTAAAGGCAGATAGATGCATTTTAAGTCTATTTTCTTTTTGTAAAGCCCTTTTTTTTTTAAAGTAAACCATATTTTTCTTTCTAACTTAACATTTAGAGATACATTCAAAGAGATTTCTTTTTTTAAATTCTTAAGCCCAAAGAAAATTCCTTTTTTTTCTAATAGGACCCTGTCCCTAATGGCCAGTGCCCAACCTCCTGTTCTTTCTGTCGCTGGGAAATATGATAGGCAAGAGAATAGGGACTGGAGTGACCATTTCCCTGGTCACCCCCCTGAGGGTTAGTCTGTTTTAATAGAAGATTCTAATGTATGAATAAACCAGTGGTGGGATCACCACAGCATTTGGTAGCCCAGCTCTGAAGTTAGGATTGCAACATCAAAAACGTGGTCTGCGTTCTAGTGGTCTCATCTCATGGTGTTAGTGGGATTAGTTCCTCCAGTCTTGTGTGCCACTGTGCATGGGATAAGCCTGCCCTGTGCCTTGATAAGCAAGTGTTCTTTTCAGTAGAGCGCCCATGAATTCTTCATAATGGGATTTATCAGTACACTAAAATGATAATCTGTAGAATGATAATCTGCAAATTGTAATGTCTCTTTTCTTAATGCACTCAAAATAGCCTTTAAAAATAATTGCAAGAAAACTTGGCTGTCTGTTCATAAAACTATTTCAAAAT